TAATAACATCACATATAATTATATGTAAATTTCATCATTAAAAATGCATAATTTATGCTAATTTGATGACGTCATTGGCCAAAATCCAAGATGGCGGACCATATCATTAGATCAGGTAAATACAGCTTATTTTCCTTAAAATTTTATCAATACTCCCATTTTTCTTTTTACAAAAAAGGTTCATATGAACGTCTTTAGTCTGTTTACAATGTATTTTAGGCTTTATCCTGAAAAAAAAATATTTTTCAAAATTCAAGATTGATGATCCAAGATGGCGGATAGGTAATATATGCATGACGTCATTTTATGACGTCACCGGTGTTGCAATGGGTAACATAAGACTTAGTACATCCTAATATTCTGTCATAAACACTTTTGGTAAAGTTATGTCGTATACTGTTTAGTTTTCAGGGAATAACCTATCTAGACGGTTTTGGCCAATAAAATCACATTAATGACGTCATAATGACGTCATATTACGTCACAACAACATGAAAATTGTACATATGATATGAGGAAATACAGGTACTGAACTGCTGCTAGATGACGTGCTTTCCAGCACCCCTGGGACGACTGTGCTGGATCTTCAGTCAGAATCCGGCTTTCACGGGCGTTTCGTCCCTTGTTTCTGATACGCCTCAGGCCGGCGGGACGACAGGATGGACGTCTCCGCCCTGCCTCCAACACAGTCGTCTCTGCTCTTCCAACTTCTAGTCTTCCTTTTAATCCATAGGGAGAAACTGCTCTTCTCCGCTTCTTCTGCCACTGATCGTACAAACTGGGTCTGGGCTTTCCCCCTAATCTGAAAGTCTCTGCATAGGCGCATCAGGGAGGTCCCTACAAAGCCACGAACTCCCACCTCCACTGGGTAGAGGTGGGTCCTCCAACCGTTCTGTCTGCACTGCTGAGCTAACTCCTCGTACTTCAACTTCTTCCTCTCATGTGCACTTTGGATGTTTTCTTCCCACGGTATGGTCAGTTTCACTATGGCAACTGTCTTCTGATCTGCTGACCACATAACAAGGTCGGGTCTTAGAGATGTCACGCATATGTCTTCTGGGAAGCGTAGTTGACTGTCTAAGTCTGCCAGAAGCTTCCACTTCCCTCGGCTGAGTGGGCCACCACCAACGTTGTTACTTCTGGGGGCTGCTTCCTTCGGCCTCTGCCCTCCTCTCACGAACTGAATGGGCTGCCATGATGTTTCCGTTCCTGCAGATTCCCTTCTTACATTTTCCAGGGTTATAGCAATCTGTCTGAGGGCTCTGTTGTGCCTCCAGGTGTATCTCCCCTGCTGGAGTGCGATCTTACAACTTGACAGGATGTGCTTAAGGTCTGCTCGTTCCATGCCACACAGCAGGCAGGTTTCTTCATTCTTAAACCATCTTGTGACGTTCTGGGGTGTGGGGAGAACATCATATACGGCTCGTAAGAGGAAACTCAGACGGAAGTTCTGCATACCCCATAAGTCGTTCCACGTTAACTTCCTTCCAACAGCACCTTCCCAATTCACCCACGCTCCCTGTTGACGCTGGCCCACTGCAACTACTCTCCTCTTTTCCTCCTCCATCCTTCTCACTTCTTGAGTTACAAGTTGCCTTCTCTCACTGGGGTTGGCACTTGACCACCTGTGTAGCCTCTCTCCCCAGCCAAGTCCTGATCTTCCCACCTGTACTGCACCCACTAGATCTTTGTGGTGTAGTCTGTTTACCGCCTGACTGATGACATCTTTAGCTTTCCACTTCCTCCCAGTACAGATATTCTTGGTTACAGCTCTGACTGATGAGTCACGTGACCCCTCCAGTTCAAGGACAAGTCGAACTTTCTCCACCTTGTATTCCTCTGCGATGGAAGATAATGGCAGACTCAGCATGTTGTTGCCGTACAGTGCGACAGTAGACAAACATCTAGGTACACCAAGCCATCGGCGGATGTAAGTGTTGGCCTTCCTATCAATTTGATCAACAACTGACAAGGAGATGTTGTAGGTTTTGAGAGACCACTTAAGTCTTGGGAACAGCATGAACTGTGCACACCAGACCTTGAGCCTTCCTGGGAGTTCACACTCATCTATGCTTCTGAGGCCTCTGACAGCTTGTTCCACCGTTTCTGGCCCTCTATCGCTGTCCTTCAGACTGCTTGTGTACAATCGTCCCAGGCTCTTCACTGGTTGTTCCTGTAGGGTCGGGATGATTTGGTCATTGACAGTGAAAGTTTTGTTGCTGATTTTCCCTTTCCTTAAAGATAGGCTTCTTGATTTGGCTGGTTTGAACTTCATCCCAGCCCACTTTGACAGTTCTTCAAGTCTTTGGAGCAATCGTTTGGTGCATGGTGCTGTGCGAAGGATGCTCGTGACATCATCCATGAAGGCTCTTAAGGGTGGCATCTTCTCACCTGAGGGTGCTCTCACCCCTCCTACGACTTGTTTCGCACCTAGGAGCAGAATTTCGAAACCCATCGTGAATAGGAGTGGAGATATTGAGCAGCCCATAGCTATCCCCTTCTCCAGTTGCTGCCACTTGGTAACGTAGTCTCTTGTACTAATACACAGTCTGAAGTCTGAGAAGTAATTCTCTATCATCTGTCTAATCTCCACAGGAACCCAGAAGAAGTCAAGTGCGTACCGGATGACCTTGTGGGGTATTGACCCGTAGGCATTGGCCAAGTCTAACCAGACCACGTGGAGGTCTTCTTTCTGTCTTCTTGCAATTTGTATTTGACTCCATATTGTGTTGGCATGTTCGGTACAACCTGGGAAGCCTGGTATGCCTGCCTTCTGTATCTCTGTGTCTATGAAGTTGTTGGAGATCAGGTACTTCGTCAGGCGTTTCGCAAGCACCGTAAAGAAGAGCTTGCCTTCTACGTTGAGCAAGGAGATGTTTCTGAACTGTTCAATGGTGGATGAAACCTTTTCCTTCGGGATCAATACTCCTCCCGCTCTCCTCCAAGCCACCGGCACACACTGTTTCCTCCAAGCTACCTGCATAAGTCTCCACAGCACTCTAAGGGTCTTTGGGCAGAACTTGTAAACCCTGTAGGGTACTCCGTTGGGACCTGGGGCTGCTGCTGATCTGGCTCTCTGTACTGCTGCCAATACTTCACTCCACTTTGGCGGAGAGACGTCCATAGGATTTGAAGGTTCTGTTGGTCTTGGCACATAACCGGGTGATTCTAACGGCTTGCTCTTTTCTTGGTCAGAGTATGTCGCACTTAAGTGGGCTTCTAGCTCTTCCTTTCCTACTGACAGGTTCCCACCTTTCTTCTCCTCCAGGAGGGATCTAGCAAACCTATACGGATTCTTGTAGAACTGCTTCCTCTGGTTTTCTCTCCTCTTACGTTTCCTCCTAAACCTCTCAGCTCTTCTTAGAGTCTTTAGTCTAGCTCTCACTTCTTCCCAGAGGGCTTGGAGGCCCCCTTTCTCACTCGCACTTGCCTTCTTCCACAACTTTCTCAAATGTCTTCTACGGAGAATTAGCTTGGCAATTTCCTTCTGTCTTCTGCTCATGGCACTGTTGCCACCGGGTTTACGTTCGCTACTCGGTATAGTTCCTAGTCTTCCACTGCAGAAGTCGTATACTAGCTCTCCGAACCTGTTGAGTTTCTTCTCCACGTCGCCCTTGAGGCCTTGTTCTAAGATGTTGCTCAAGTCGCTGTCTAATGTCTCCCAGCTCGCCTTGTCATTGGCCCTTGGCCACTTAATCTTCTCCTTTCTGGTAAAACTCTCTTCTTTCCTTTCTCTCGTTGTCAGTCTTGGTTGGCTGTCACTCGCACTAGGCTCCAGTTCCTCTGGGAGAGCAGTGCTGCCAGGGTCAAGGGCATCGCTGTTGAGGTCCTGGGTACTGTGGTTCTCGCCCTGACCCCTGTCCTCTTGCGTCTTACCAGCGGCTGCCGAGCGTCTGCTCTGCTCCCGACTCTGGCACTTCGTTTTCCCCTGGTGGATCCGGAGGCCTCTGTATGAGGTGACACGCTGCCACCCACAACTGCATGACCTCAATACAACTCCTTCTCTTTGGTCCATAAGCCGTTCTGCTGTTGTCACCGGTGAATCTGATCTGACGGGCCCTTCTTGCATCCCCACTCTCGTAGGACCCCGGGGCTGACTTTCCATGAAGCGACTTGTAGTGAGATAAGGGTGACCTTCCTAGAGGGATAGTCTGACGGGCTGGGTCACGAGCCCTCCGTCCCCGTGCGGTCTCTCCCAGCTGTCTCCAGCCTTTCCTGGTTGTCAGCGGTCTCTCCCAGCTGTCTCCAGCCTTTCCTGGTAGTCATCCAGCCTTTCCTGGACGTCAACTGCTCTGTTCACAGTGGTCACTGGGCATCCAGAGTGTAATGAGGAAATACAGGTACTGACCTGCTGCTAGATGACGTGCTTTCCAGCACCCCTGGGACGACTGTGCTGGATCTTCAGTCAGAATCCGGCTTTCACGGGCGTTTCGTCCCTTGTTTCTGATACGCCTCAGGCCGGCGGGACGACAGGATGGACGTCTCCGCCCTGCCTCCAACACAGTCGTCTCTGCTCTTCCAACTTCTAGTCTTCCTTTTAATCCATAGGGAGAAACTGCTCTTCTCCGCTTCTTCTGCCACTGATCGTACAAACTGGGTCTGGGCTTTCCCCCTAATCTGAAAGTCTCTGCATAGGCGCATCAGGGAGGTCCCTACAAAGCCACGAACTCCCACCTCCACTGGGTAGAGGTGGGTCCTCCAACCGTTCTGTCTGCACTGCTGAGCTAACTCCTCGTACTTCAACTTCTTCCTCTCATGTGCACTTTGGATGTTTTCTTCCCACGGTATGGTCAGTTCCACTATGGCAACTGTCTTCTGATCTGCTGACCACATAACAAGGTCGGGTCTTAGAGATGTCACGCGTATGTCTTCTGGGAAGCGTAGTTGACTGTCTAAGTCTGCCAGAAGCTTCCACTTCCCTCGGCTGAGTGGGCCACCACCAACGTTGTTACTTCAATGATATGATATGATACATATGATAAATTTTTACTAGTACACCATCCTCTAAAAATTTGGTGGTCCTACGATATACCGTTCGCGAGTTCTGAGGGGGGGCCGAATGAGCCCCCCCCCCCCCGTCAAATCTTGCTCAAAAAAGCCCGGTCTAGATAGGGTTAACGGGGGCCAACTTCTGTTAACGGTGGTGAACGGTTTCCAGCGGTGATGAATTTTATTCACCGTTCAAGGAACGCTCCAGCAAAGTTCGGCCAGTGTGACCGGGCCTTAACACCTGTATGCATTGACCAAGACTATTTGCCATTTTAATTAGAAAAGTCAGTGACAGCAAACACTGTTTAGTTTTGCATAAAAAAAAAAAATCCGTCCAAACTTACGGCACGTCCGAACTTAGGGCACCCCCTCCCCGTTATTTTACAAAGATTTAGCAAGTTTGGTGCTTCTAGAGCGAGCCGTTTATAGTTGGCGCGGGCACTTTTCCCACTGTTCCCCAGTCTAAATAGGGTGGAAAATTGAGATATAAGATGTAAAATTTGCTGTTCTGCTTAGGTGACAGGACACCATGGAACCAATGCTGAGACACTTGCTGTTTTTACTTCTTATCATCCTGAAGGAACCCAACGTGCTAGAAACTAAATGCAGCTGTAAACTACAGCAATTCTGCAACAAAGGCTTCACCAGCATCCCTCAATTAATCCACCATATGCATATGCAGCCTAATATGCAGCCTATGCAGCTTAAATGTCTTGATGCTGGAAGTAACCGTATCAAAACTGTATTGAAATATGACCTAATGCCATTTCATAATTTAGAAACGTTGTACCTGAGAGATAACCAGATCACAGTGATTCATGAAGGCACATTTGTGGATCTGCCCCATCTAAAAGAGTTGTGGCTGTCAAAAAACAAGATAACAATGATTAAGCCTGCATTTCGACAGCTTCACATTTTGTACCTGTGCGAAAACCAAATAAAAAGATACAAATCGGACAATTCGGAATTATGATCGGACTAGGTACATTGGATCTGTCCAAAAATCAGATAACAACGGTCAAGTTTTATTCATTTAAAACACTTCTCCATATACAAGACATACGGCTGCACACAAACCAGATTACAAAGGTTCAGCCTGGGATATTTTTAAATTTATTCCACCTGAAATTTATTTATCTGCACATCAACCGGATATCAGTAATTGAGGAAGGAGCGTTTGTAAACCTACCACAGCTACAACACGTGTATCTATCAAGGAACCAGATAACTACCATCCATTTTAGTGCATTTACAAATACTCCCCTATTACAAACTATAGACCTTCGCGCAAACAGGATGTTCTCTGTTCCCCTGTCAACGTTAGGCCTGTTTAAAGTTATTACTACCATAGAACTTGACGGAAACCCCTGGCAGTGTGACTGTAGGATGGCTCTCGTGCTAGATCCTGTATTAAAAGCAAGATAATATGCGCCCAACCCACCAAATTCCATGGAAAGAAGCTAGCAGATGCCAAACCAGAAGAGTTAATGTAAAGAACCAACCATTTCCCCACTACCTGTCAAAATCCAAACCTCATCAACATATTTAGTTGGCAAAACAGAGAACAATGTAAGCCCAACAGCACATCCTGTAGGCTCGATACCTGCCACACAGTCCCTTGTTAACCCATTAGAAGGTGCTAATAGCTGTTACAATGTCACCATCAACTCTCGCTATCATTGGTTCTTTACACACAATTCTGGTTCAATAGAACATGCTGCAGGAAATACGAGCAAACCATGGGCAACTCAAACTTTACCCCTTACAATCACTTTAGACAAAGCAAAATCTGATCCCAACTCTCTCCTGTCCGTTCTCATTGGCTCTTTCTGTGCTTCAGTAGTTGGCGTTGTTCTGATAATCGTACTTACAGTGTGGTACAAGATAAAGGGCAGGCATCCTCCTTTAGGCAGTAGGCATGGTCAAACAGGGCAGAGTCAACGTATGATTGGGCATCTATCCCATGACCAAGTGCTAACTTGTTTAAAACCTAATCTTATGTACGATGTGCGTGAGGGAACAAAACCAAAGGAGCCTGCATCTACAGAAGTGCCGAGTGCTCAAAATACGACAGATCAGGGTCAGTCTCAGGCTAACACTGAATCCAACATACACGCCACAGCTACTGATGAGATGGATTGTAGTGGTCATGATCAGGCAGGGCAGGGTCAGTCTCAGACCATCTCTGAAACAAATACGACCACCACGTGTACTAAATTGACCAATGACCATGATCAGGCAGGGCAGGGTCAGTTTCAGACCATCTCTGAAACAAATACGACCACCACGTGTACTAAATTGACCAATGACCATGATCAGACAGGGCAGGGTCAGTCTCAGAGCAATTTATCATATGGTAAAGCAATGACTGCCTCACAGCATAATTATCTATATGCAAACGTTCAAACACCATGATTTAATCCACATTCAGACAAGAATGTCACTGACTGACTAAAGAGAGAAAATGACAGGTGTTTGATATCATTCATTATCAAAAATATTGAGATGTGCAAAAAGACATGGCCACTGGCCAAGATTATTCCTTTTTGGTGGTTTTGACTTTGAACACACATTTAGCAATATTGTAATGTGGAAAGATTTAAGCAAATCTACACAATCATGTATACAGCACATTGAAATGTGCTGTAGAGAAGAAGCTTGCGCACTAGAAAAGCATCCAATGAAGTCACGAAGGTACTGAGCCTTACATAGCTTTCGATTGGCTTTATGCCCATGCCACGATTTTAAATTAAATTAGAGTTCCACGATCTCATACCTTGGCCAAATGATGTTAATCTTTATGACTGCCAATTTGTAGATTATTCCCCCTCAATGTGCAAACAGAATCCTCATTTTCATGAATTATATCAATTTCTCATATGCTCAACCAAAAGACAGTCTGTTTGATTGATGTTGATGATAATTACGTTAATTACATTATGTTAAATGATTTTCACCTTCACTGAACTTTCAAATACCACAAGTATAAGATTCTAGGCAGTTATCATTACATAATTATAAAATTTTCTCATTAATTCTGCAAATTAGGTCTTAATTTCCATAATTAATATCTGCCTGTGATTCTTTCGTACTTAATTATCAATGTTACAAGCTTCAATAGTCCTATCATGGAATGCAACTGATTTATAGAATTTCCCCATAAAGTATGCAAATTACTTCCATATTTGTATAATTGTCACATAAGTATATAAAGCATCACGTTAGCTACCTACATACCAAAAATCACGATGACTTGCCAACCGGTTCTTGAGTTATCCTCTTTTGAATATTTTCAAACAGATAGCCCTGCAGTTCTAGAGCAAGACGCTAGAGAGCCCAACCTCACGTCATTACTTCTTTCCCAGCACAAGAAAGAGCTACCTACCTACCTACCAAATTTCACCACCCTAGCATGACTAGATCATGAGATATATCAAAACAAGGCGCTAGGGGGTCCAAAATCTAATCATTCCCAGGTCTTATCAAGACCTACCCACCTACCAAGTATGAAGACAATCCATTTAAGCTTTCTCAAGTTAACGTGTCCATAGACGGACATACACACACACACACACAGACACGAACGCCTCTGAAAACATAACCTTGGTGAAGGTAACAAATAGCATACAAGCAGAATTAGTGCGGCCTAAAATCATGACAAGCGAGCAGATGGTCCCTTTAAAAGCAGTAATGCAAGCTGTCGCTAGATGGAGTCACAATACTAGATTGTCGCCATGTTGACTTTTGTATGAGGCACAAACTGGCCTTCAGTTTTTCTTTTCATTTATACAATTGCCTGTAATAAAAGCATACAACGTCCCCGGTTGCCAGTAAAGCTTAAATGTCTTTTGAAAGCGATAAAAAGGGAAAATATCGAACCAGGTCCAAATTCTCTATCTATCTGGTTGATGTGCAGATCTTTTTATAGTGATTCGTGAAATGTAAATATAAAGCAGATTTCGGTTAATTGCATTTTCGTGACTGAAATTAACAGAAATTTATCTATTTTTTGTTCTGTTTTGTGTAATTTTTCATTTGAATTGTGTTTGCAAAACTACTAACATTCTTTATGTCTTTGAGATCAATGGCAAAACTTTTGGTCAATCATATTGTAACGGATTAACATCTTGCATTTGAAAAAAAATGCAGTGTTTGTTAATATAGATCGACTTGATGTTGAATGATCGCAGGATAACTTTTTTTAGCAAATAGTTCAGTTTTAGCATCCGTGAAGTCCTGGCCACGTTGTAGCCGTTACTTTTGTTTAGTAACATTGATATGCAAATTTCCACTACCTTCTTTATTTATTTTATTTGTGATATTTATTTTATGTGATTCATTAGTTTGCCGTATGATTTTGAAGCAATTTTACCAATATGTTATTATTATTGCCTCACAAATGTCAAACGTTAACTAAACCTCCTCCAATGGTAACCTTTGACCCATTAAATATGTCAATAATGGCCGACAACTTGGCCGTTGGACATTAAGGGAAGAAGAAGAAGATTATCTTTAGCCTTCAGTATGAAGCTTACATAGTACAAAAAGACCTTGTTAGAAGTAAAGTACCCTGTTAGTTGTTGAATATGAAGACAATTTTAGAGGAGTCCGGCTATGCCTGCCTATATACACACGAGTATATTAACAAACCATTCCATCTGCATGAACTAAGACAAAGATCAAAAGATATATTCATCCAGAAATTCAACGCAGCACTACAAGCACAAGGACAAAGAGAAAATGAAGGCAACAAACTGAGAACATACAAAACATTCAAAGTACTATACGACAGAGAACCATATTTAGACATCCCAAATTTTGAAAACCGCAGAGCCATGTGTAAA